AGCTGATCAGGACTGGGTGAGAAGGGCCATACACACCCTGGAGCTCTCCCATGGTCCCTCCCCGCCCCGATCATGCACCAGTGGGGTCCTCAGCCTGGCCTATGCCCTTTTGCAATCTGGGACCCCTGGGGGATGTCAGCCAATTTCAGCCTGATCCCCAAGGGATCTCACCGGTGCAAAATCCATGCACTGAGCCTCTAGTTTTATATACAGGACTTGAGCATCAGCAAGTTTTGGTATCCACAGGGATCCTGGATATCAACCATTCCCTCCCCACAGATATCAAGGAATGCCTGTAATTATGATTTTGGGAAGTCAAAATTTACATGGAGATTTTCAACATGAGTCAATTTCCCTGACCCTCACATTAGTCAAAGGCCAACTGTATGTAGTTAACTTTTAAAAAATCCGTATTTTGCTATTCTTATTCATATATACTCCTCCTCTCAAGCACAGTTATCTATTTTATATTGTATTTTTGTGGGAATATATTTTCACAAGCATTTAAATCCATGTGCTTGTATACAAACTAATGTTTTACCTCTATATAAACATAGACATATGTGTAGAATGACATTTATCTAAAATGAATAGTGCATAATTTTGTGGTTAGGAGATTTAATATAATAGCTATTATTTTTTTGTTTTGTCTTGTATTCTTAAGTGCTTAAATTACCTCTGATGAGCATATACTCTTCAAATTTTTTTTCAGTAGAAAACGTAAAAAATGAGAGATGTTTCTTTGCTTACTGAAATAATATAGGTATCAGACTTGTTTTTAAATGATTTGTGATCAATATTTGATAGAACTGTAATTAAAGACAGCTTGTGGCCTTGTATGACATGACGTGATGAGCTCTTCTCAGTTACAGATGACCAGATCATGATGCCCGGTCAGACCAGTCTTCTCAATATAGACTCAGCTTACCATGGACCATTGTGAAGATATCAACGTTGTCATGCTTTCCAAAGTTGTAATTCTGGTTGTTTTAGTCATTTGTCAAACAACAACTTTCTTCAATCTCTAGCTTAGAGGTCAGATAGTTTATCTTCATAAATATTGATGAGCCAGAACAGGTCATGTCCCAATAAGTCAGCCCCCCCCCCCTGCCGGATCCGGTTTGGCTCAGTGGATGGAGCGTCGGCCTGCGGACTGAAGGGTCCCGGGTTCGATTCCGGCAAGTCTAGCCCAAGAAGTGAAAAGATACGTGTAGTAAATAGTATTTGCTTTTATTTTTTCGTATGCTCCATTAAAAAAGATACAGTTTTATTAGTATTACATTAATAAACTTAAAGAACAAGGTGACAAGTTATTGCCACAGATATTAATTTTTATCTACAAACATCCACCAAAACAATAAAAAAATGAAATAAATATATTTACATTTCATATTTCTGGTATTTCCTTTTATTTTCATATGTATAAAATATATAACATTTACAATATTTTATTTATCTTCCAAAGGAACTTCCAATGTGCAAAAAAGTGAGTTATAATTTGAAAGTATGAAGGAATAAGAATAAATCATAAATAACAGTTCTAGAGTGACAAGGTGATTCTTTAAGGAGAGCTCATGAGTATAGAAGTGTTAAGAGTGGCAAACTATTTGTGTTTAATATCAGAACATCTACACTTACCTTAAAAAAAAGTAAAGCACAAGATTGTCCTTGTGCTTATAAAGTTCTCCACACTACTGATTTCTAGCAGTAATTCTAAATTTTTAAATCAGTACTTTTCACAATAACAAATTAAACTTTTCTCAAATCCAGCATTCAAAGTAGACAAAGTTGAGAAGCACGCCTTGTCATCAATGAGGGAAATGTCGATGTACAAATTAATGCTTTCTCTGCTTACATGGTTAATATGGACTTGACATTTATTTTCAAGTAATTACTTTTCTACTTGCTAGATGACAGTTCTGTGAGCAAAGGCTTTCAAACTATACATCGGTGTAAGCCTGGAAAATGGGCAATAAATTACTAGTTGATTATTCTCCCTTAAAAATAGCGTTGGATGATGTATGTTAGGCTACACATTATACTTACATTATCTATGAAAGTAGTTTTAAATAAATATTTGTTCCAATATAACAAATATAAAATGCCCCTGCTTTCATTTACTTCAGCTTAAATTAATTGGTTTTTTATTAATCAGGCAAAGTACATTATTATAGTAGTTAGCAAAATTGGAAATACTTGAACTCCCTAATCTGACCTTAGTATCTGTAATACAATATTCTCTTTGAGCTTGCACTATGTACAACTATAATGAACCCTTTAAAAGTGCGTATACATACACATGTATACATATAAACATATGTATATATGCATCATGTACACACACACATATACCAAGGCACTGGAGGGGTTAACACAAAATTAAACATTCTGCTGTCAAAATGTTCTCTAGTGTGAACTAGGTTTTAATGTGAATACTTCCAATGCTTCTAAAACTTAATTACATGAGAAGTTGAGATTTATCTTAGTATTTTTCATATCTAAGCTCTCTCATTCAGTAATCCAAGTTATGACAAATGATAGTGGCTAATATTTGCACTGTAAAAAAAAATGTTACATACTACCTGCTAACAAATGAACAGTAGAATAGCATTTTTAATAGACGGCTGCTCCACCAATTATATAATGTAGTAATTTAGGCCTTTTTATCAATAGTATCAAAAATAAATGCAGTATTATCATAAATTTTAATTCAAGTTACCATTTACAATGCAAATTTAAAGATATTAAGTATATGTGTTTGAAATATTCTTCATATAATCTGTGGTTAACATTTCATTATATATACATATGTATATACATATATATATGTGTGTTTGTTTGTATCTTCGTATGTGTTTGTGGCAAGAGGAGATATATACCCATACATATCTCCTTTGTGCACCTTTTCCTTCATCATACACATAAGCACAGGCTAGAATCATTTTATGGTGTAACAAAAAAGGTATTTAAATAAATTGCATTTTGTATATTTCCAATGGAGCTTTTAAAAATCTAGCATTCATTTTTCAATAATTACATTACCCTAACATAGAGTTTGACACGTTTCTCTTTTAGCTACCTTGCCCATTTCGTATTTCCATGAGACTAGCATATCACACTCATGACACACAGATGTCACCCCACGGTAACATCTAGTTAGTAGCAAGGATTCTGTAATGAACTGGCTGCTTTCTGCTGTTCACCTCCTTCCTAAGGTCGATGCCTCCCTCTGTTTTTCTCCATAAGTTCAATAGTACCCTGGGAAAGCCTGTCGTTGGTGGGCTTCTTATTTTGAATGACTGTTGTGTCTGATCGATAAATAATGAGTAGTATTTCCACAGCATTACCTTCCTTATGGATATGTATTTAGTTTTGTGATCAGAATAAATTATATTAATTATTGTTGAATTTTCCACAGTTCTTTTAATAATGTGTCCTAGGCCCAACTTAATACTTGCCCATGTATAATTATGAAACTTACCTTTAAAAAAAATTTAATGTGATTCAGAATTGATCAGATGAAAAGTAAATTGAAAATCTATGATGATAGAAATAGTTGCATATTAAATTTTTAATTATGATGGTAGTGCCTTTTTATAAATTATTTTTCCCTCTTGAGTGATATTTTTCTCTTATTTAAAAAATAAATCAAACCACCTTATTAGATCTTTGGTCATTTTCATGTAGAAATAATCCAGTTTTGATTTAGTTGGGGACGTTGGTGTGAATTTAAAAAAGCATATTTTCCTTTTTTAATGGGCAGCTGGTTGTTTACAGGCAGATCTCGGTACAGCTGTAGTGAAGGGTAGAACATGTTTTCCACGTGATGCAAATCGTTATGTAAGATCTGGAATCTGAGTCATGTATTACCCACCTCCCTCCCCCCATGATTTCATATTTCTAGCCTCTTCACATCTACATTCCTAAGAAAATATACCTGAAAGAATCCGCATTGTTTAGAATTATATAATAACTTGTGATGACGTGGTAAGATAGAAGTTTAAATTTTTTAATTTTCAGATCTTACTTTATCATTAAATGTTACTAAAAATGGGAAAAAAATTATTGAATGAACATGAGTAATAGCTTTGAGACTGCTTTCTAGAAACATTTTAGCTTACGATGAGCTAGGATTAGGATTACAAAGAATTGTTCCTTACACCACAGTTTTTTTTTCTAGAAAATTTTGGGGTCGCTGAAAGTTTAGGAAACTTTAATTGGAAAATAAATTCCATTAGGTAAAATGTAAATCTCCTTCAGTGAAAGACAGAAGAAGATGTTTGGGACTGTTGCCTTCAATCATAATTAAATTAACACATGTTGGCATATTTGATTGGCACTGGCCGTGAATAACACTTTCAGTGTAAGCGCTCCAAGGAGGAAACAGTTCATCTCACAATGCGTCTATCCCAGGTCAATGTTACTAGCTTTTTGCAATTCTTAAAAAAACATTTTACAGTAAGATGGAATCGGAGTGTCAGTGCCAAATCATGAAATGATAACACAAGGAGAAATCTACATCAGCAAATTAAAGTGAGTGTTTTTTTCCTTTGATGAGATTTATTCCCCCCCGCATGCTAGTATCCTTGCTGCCATAGGTTTTCTGCCTCCTTTCGGTCACTCATGATGTAATCATAGGGCATTAGTTTGTGATCTGAACCAACATGTATTCTGTATACAAAATATCCTAAAATACAGGAGTAACCCTTTAATCGGTATTTTTATTTTATTTATAGAGAATTTACAATTTTTACATTACTTACATAATTCACATCGTTCCTTCTTTTCTCTCCACTTCTGATGAAAGCAGTCTACTGGTGACCAGTCAGCCGAGTGAACGAACAAGCTGTTCTGTTCCTTTCGGACTATTCACCAAGGCCTCCAAAATAGAAATGCTTTGGAGATCCCTTCTTTTCCTGCTGAAGTTCCCATTTGACTTGATGATATTATTGTCTCTCCAAGGTCTAAAATGACGAAGCTGTTCATCTATTTATACAGTCATGGTAAGTGGCAACACAAAACTCAGGGTGTCAAGTTGTGTACTTTGCTTTGCTCATCGTAGCAGAACTGGCCGCAGCAGAGGCAGTAGCTTGATGGCCTAAGAAGAGAGGGTCCAGACAAGCTACTTTGGCCGCAAAGAACGAGTGAATGCAGTGAAGAACAGCAAATAGATTCGAAAACTCCAGCTCCTGAAAGGAAAAGAGACATGGGTCAGATAAAATAAAATAAAAAGTTTACTTAAAAAATGGATAATAAACCATACAAGTAGATAATAGACTTTTTCAAGTGCAATAAACTTAACTATCACCAGTTATATCGAATGCATGGCAACTCTACTGTTTAATTTCTGTTCAATATGTAACATTAATATATATTGCAGGTTTACTATCATGGTGATCTAAGAACTTGAAGGAGTAAGCATACTATCATTCATAAAGTCATTTCAGTATTGATTAATGTGGCATAAAAATATATTGGGCCTGATTAAAATTTTATTCTTGATAAAATGTAACTAAAGAGAACCACAGGAGTACTTTAAAAGTATTTTTATTTCTTTGTACATACATCAAATGATAAATTTGGATTGGAATGATTTTAGAAAACATTTTTTACTACTCTTTTAGAATAAGTTAGCCATTGTCAAAGGACACTGAATATGAATTACTAAAAGAAAAGGGATATGAGTGGTCATGACATTAGGAGCCACATGGTTCTGCTTCAAAAAATAATGCATTTCATTAATTTAAAATTTATATAATTTTAATCGTTGTACTTGGTTGTTTAAAGTTATTCACTGCTGGTGGGAATGTAGACTGGTATAGCCACTATGGAAAGCAGTCTGGCGAGTCTTCAAAAAATTAAGAGTAGAGCTACCATACGACCCAGCAACCCCACTTCTGGTATATACCTGAAAAACTCGAAATCACTTATACGCAAAGATATATGCACCCCTATGTTCATTGCAGCATTACTCACAGTGGCCAAAGCATGGAAACAACCAAAGTGCCCTGCGACAGAGGACTGGATAAAGAAGATGTGGTACATATACACAATGGAGTCTACACAGCCATACGAAAGGATGAAATAGTGTCATTTACAACAACATGGATGGACCTTGAGAACATTATATGAAGTGAAATAAGGATAAAATTCACAATCATCTCAATATATGCATAAAAAGCTTTTGACAAAATTCAACATCCATTTATGACAAAAACTCTTTACAAAGTAGGTGTCAAGAGAATGCACCTCATCATAATGCAGTCACTGTATGGCAAGCCCACAGACAATTAAACTTTCACTTTGGTATTTATTATTTACCCATCCTTCCACAATGGAATACTATATTTATAATTCACTCCAACCCAAACATTGTTATTGTGAATTCCATAGTAAAATAATGGAAATAATTCAAAACTTGAATATTTAAAATATATGTATTCCTAAAAAACAAAGTAGTGAATCTTTTTGATGAGTTAAAAACAACATAGTTAATATAGTTAAAAATACTAAAAATTTGCATGAAGAAAAGCAAAAAATCATTCATTCGTGCATTTTATACATAACATGAGAAAATATGAGTTGATATAAAAATAATATTCTTTAAGGATTTTTATTCATATTCAAAAATGGAATAAATGATACAAGAGAGTCAGAAACTTTTAAGCATTTTAAATTATTAGTTAGTGGCCCTAACTGGTTTGGCTCAGTGGATAGAGCGTCAGCCTGTGGACTGAGGGGTCCCAGGTTCGATTCCGGTCAAGGGCATGTACCTTGGTTGTGGACACATCCCCAATAGGAGGTGTGCAGGAGGCAGCTGATAGATGTTTCTCTCTCATCGATGTTTCTAGCTCTCTATCCCTCTCCCTTTCTCTCTTAAAAAAAAAAATCAATAAAATATATATTTTTTTAAAAATTATTATTTAGTGTATGAAACTACAAAATAGTGATTTTTTTAGTTCCTAGAATGTTATTGTAGTGTGATACAAATAAAGCCCATAAGGAATTAAAAGTAAGAAATATAATTGTTGAGTATAATTTATTTTAAGTTATGCTTTTTAGTGAAAATTAACCATTAAATTTTTTTTTTCTTTTGGCCATAAGGTACAGTTCAAGGTAAATAGGGAATGTATGCTTTTGCCTTTTGATTTTTCTAAATTATCTCTCCTTTGCTTCTTAACAGTATTAATGTAGTTAGAGATGGTTTATATGATGAACTTGGGCTTACCTTTGCTTCAATCTGTTTAGTATCTGGATTCTGAAACAAAAATTTGATTTTGCTCTTGCCATCATCTGAAGAGCCTTTAAGATGAGAAAACTTATACCTCCAAAGTACAGCCTAAAGGGGAAAAAATAAACAAAAGCAAGTCACCCAGCTCTCTTATGGCACAATTTGTATGGAATATATTTTTACATCTTTTTTTTCCCAACCCCTTTGTGTCTTTCTTTAGATATAAAGTCAGCCTCTTGTAGACAGCATTTGGTTGGATCCTGGCTGCAGGGTTGAAGAAAATAGAAGTTATTGCTTCACGATTTAAAGAGTTTTCATTTGGAGTGATGTAAAGTTTTGGAAATAGTACAAATTAATTAATGTCACTGAATGTACAATTAATGATGGCTAAAATGGGAAATTTTATATTAAAATGTATTATAACAATTTAAAAAAAACTTAAAAATTCTGTAAGCATTGTATCTTCAGAATCCACTCAAAATAAATATTAATTTAAAAGTTCACACTTTAAAAAGAATAAAATAAAATAATCATAAGTTCCTACAAATGGCCTCTCTTGGCTCATGTTTTGGACTTCTCTAAAATTTATCAAACAAGCAGCATCTGGCCTCAGAGTGCCCCATACCCTTCACTCAGTGGCCCCAGGCCCAGCACTAGCTGCAGCTGGACTTAGTTTTCAGCGTGGCCTCCCCTGGGCACTTCCAAGGCAGCATAAATAGCAGCCATCTACAGATTAGTGTGCAGCTCATTCTGGTTGGCGGGGGCAGGGCACAGGTGGTGACTGACCTCGGCTTGAAAAATAATAAATGTTTAGTGAATAAATAGATAACAAGTGAATGGCACTTTATATAAATGTGTTATACCTCATTATTCTATATCATATAAGCTCATTTTATATAAGGTCATTGTGTCTCATTATTATATATTACATAAATTCATTTTATAAACTCATTATACCTCATTATGATATATTATTGATAATTTTCTTATCAGTAGAGAATTGCCATTAGTCCTTAAATGAGGGAGAAGGAATGTATCAGTTTATTTCTTTGATATAGAAGAAAGTGGGGTGGATCTAAGGAATGTATGTCCTTATGGGAAGAAGAATGGCTTATGTGGAGGCCAGAGCCCCAAGTCAGAAAGTGCAGCAGTGACGCCAGTACTGGGAGGAGATTAGCGGTGGGGAGGGGTCAGTTTATCTTGAAGATATTTGAGATACTCCTGGCTCAGAAGGTGCCCTTCATCATTCAGTATGCATCCCTTCCAGAGACATAACCTTTGTGGAACGGGCACACAATCAGACAGTACAAGACCTTTTAAGTATTTACAAGGATTATACTCCTTGGCCAGAAACTTCACACTCAAATTCCTCCATTCTACTGGTATAATTCCAACATATTACCTATAAAGCTAAAAATATATTTCCCCCATTTTGATACTAGAGAGGTTGCTAAAGAAAAATAATCAAAGGGATATTTTGTTCAAAAAATGTTTTTGAGGAGGAGAATTTTTCCTCAATATAAGGCCATAGCTTTAGTAAAAGAGAAAAAATGAATATATATATATTCAATTTATATAGTTCTAGTGTTGTGTACCAACACATTTGTTTCATTACAATTTTCAACTTTTGTTTTCTATAAACAGATTAAAGCATAATTTAACCTTTATTAACAAAAAATGAGGATCTTATATTTGACATATGATAATTAAAATGCTGACAGGAGTTCAAAGTTATTTCAATCATTCCTAAATTAAAATGTCTGCAGAACAGTTCTCAGAGCTGACCCGAACTCATTACCTTTGTCGCAGCATCAAAGCATATAAATCCTGTGCTAAAGTCGATGGTGAGTCCCATTAGATGACTTTCTAGTACACATGCATATGTCTTGCACTAGACGGAACAGAGAACACTGTTACTTTTTATGTGATTGATCCAAGATCAGTATTAATAGCTAATAGTTATCCAACACTGTGTGAAAGCTTCTGTAATGCATTCTTATATAATAGCTAATATTATCAGCAGTAATCGTGTAAGGAAAATAGTATTATCAACATCTTAATGTTAATTAAAAAAAAAAAGAATCCAAGTGATTTTTGACCTGCCAAGGGGTATGCAGGACCACGTTTCCAGTCTTTTTTAAAGGATTGTTTTTATCATGTACCACACCGACTCTTCTTACTATAGTATTTCCAATAAAACTGGTACAAACATTTTTAGGTTTAGGCAAGATTAAGTTGTCATGCCCTCCAGCTAACTATCCCTTCATTTTCATTAAGCCAAAAGTGGATTATTAAAGATCAAGGTGTTACTTAAATTCTTGGTATGTTGATTTTATAGACATTATTTAAAGAGAATTCTCAGGCACACAAACACAGATTCTGTAACCAAGGCAGAAACAACAACGAAAACATATCTTGACCTTCACAGTCTCTATCTGTTCACCCATGTGACACAACCTGTTTCCCAAAGATATTGACCACTCGCCTATTACTTGTATAAACAGAATGATTCTTCAGAAATCAACAATTGGTGACTTTTCAAATTGAGACAGGCCCAATATTTCTTAGCCTGTTCCATTTCATGGTTCTATAAATTGGAGAGGCTGAGGATTCTATGAAGTTTGATCTAGATATAACTTCATGCTTAAGAAATAAAATTTAATCGGCATCCGTTGAATACTTGTGATGCACAACACGCATTGTACTTCGGTTGGTAGATGGATAAAATATCCCAAGCAAACTGTAACTCAGTGTGAGCAATGTCAAGCACACTTCACTCCACTATGAGACTGTGAGCAGAGCTATGGAAATAATACTGGTGACAAAATCAAGTAATATTGAACAGAACTGTTGTGCAAGGAGTAGTGGTAGCCAGGGGGCAGGGTAGACTGGAAATCAGCAAAATTTTCACAGATGATATGACCTATGAAAAAAGTTTCAAAGCCTGGGCGTAGTTTTGGAGGGTAGATATGAAGGGAAGGCTTTCTAACAAGAAAAAGCATTTTGAGTGAATGAAGCCATTCAGCTGGAAATTAGGTGGTCATGATTACAGAACAGGAAACAGCCTTGGGAAGTATAATTAAAATCAGAGCGTGTTCATTTTAGATTTAAAGCGGAACTGATTCTAACGAAAATTTCCAATATATTTTTGAGGAGTGATAGGAAATAGCCCCGAGAGATCAAATTGTAGAGAAATTAAAATGTTTTTCAGAGCTGCATTACTATTCGTTCAATCACAATGGCTGATTATCGAATGTGTTTGAGAAGGAGGTCAAGATTCCAAAAATGGTGGTGTTGTGCTAATTTGGATTTCTGTGAGAACTCGAAGCCAGTGGACATGCATCGCTATGTCCCAGATCCTCAAACGCCACAGACTCTCACCTGTATCCGCTCCACTTCCAGAAATGTTGCTGTTTGGAAGGCTCTTTCCCATTGGGCAAGGTCGCAGTCTAACTCCACGGAGAAGTAGAGGTCCTCCCCGGACTCGGACTGCACAGTGAAACAGTGTCTGCGCTGGTCCAGGAGGTCACTGTCCTGATGAAAACCTGGAGTTACACGGGCTGGCAAACATCAATTCAAATGGCTGACATGCTCATACCTTAAGTCGGTGTCGACTAATGCGCGGCTGGAGGTGCCAGTCGTACAGATTAGACGCTACAATATCACTAAACCTTCATGAAACAGGGTCACTGCTCAGAAGGAGACTAAACTTGGGATGATGAGCATACAAGGAAATACGCAGATGGTGGATTATCATATCGTACACTTGAAAGCCCCTGGCTTGCCCCTCCTCCACCCTGCCAATCCGATCTCACTCTGGAGCTAGAAGGGCAAACGCTTCACTCCTCATGCTTGAAATCCTTCAGTGGCTCTCCTTTGTTCCTTAATAAGGCTCATGTTCCTTATTATGTTCTTTTATCTGCTTCCCACCACACAAACACCAACACAAACCTCATCCCAAAGTGGATATACATAGATGGCCAATAGACATATGGAAAAATGCCCAATGGTACTAGTCATCAGAGAGATGCCAATAAAAACTACAATGCGCTATCACCTCACAGCTGCCAGAAAGGCTACAATCAGATCAACAAACAAGTGCTGGTGAGGATGTGGGGAAAAGAGAATCCAGAACACTGCTAGTGGGAATGCAGACTGCTGTAGCCACTGTGGAAAACAGCATGGAGTTTCCTCAAAAAATTAAAAATGGAACAACCTTTTGGCCCAGGATTCCAACTTCTGGGAATATATCCTAAGGACTCCAAAATACCATCCAGAAAGAATATGCGCACCCCTATGTTCATAGCAGCATTATTTACAATGGCTAAGATATGGAAACAGCCCAAGTGCCCATCAGTAGATGAGTGGATAAAAAGCTGTGGTACATCTACACCATGGAATACTATGCAGCTGTAGAAAAGGAGGATCTTCTACACTTTGCAACAACATAGATGGACCTGTTGAATATTATGCTGAGTGAAATAAGCCAGTCAGAGAAAGACAAGTATCACATGATTTCACTTACATGTGGAATCTAATGATCATAATAAACTGATGAAAAAAACAGGTCCAGAGACATGGCTACATGGAACAGACTGACATATCTCAGGGTGGGGGGAGATGGGTAGAGATTAATTAAATAACTTATATACATATATGTATAGCCAATGGTCAGAGACAATAGTGTGGTGAAGGCCTGGCCTGGGGTAGGGGCTGAGAGGAAGAGAGTAAACGGAGCAGGGGAGTGGAGAGATTGGGGGACATCTGTAATACTATCAACAATTTTAAAAAGTCCCCTCCCCCCGCCCAAAAAAGAGAGAAAGCAATCTTATTAGTCATTTTGGTAATTATTTTTATTAACTGAAATTGAGTATGATCTCTTTTTCTTCAGATACCAGTACATCTTTTAGAAGTTTCCAGAACTTTTTTTTATTAACAATAAATTCAAGCATATCAGAGTTGTTCTACCATTAATCCCACAATAAAACTAAAACCATGTACAGTGATGATCAAGCAATGACCTATATTTTTATTTAGCTCTTGTGCTATTATAAATTTCAGCTTTCATTTATAATTATTCAATAGGGAAAAATATTATGAATACTTTTGAGGTAATCATGTTTCTTTGTCTCTGCTTTCAGACACTTTTGATACATTTCATTGTGTTTTAAATGTTCCAGCATTTTCTAATCTACTGAGTCTTTAACTGGAAGAGAAATAATTGACATAAAGTACAGGGAACTCAGTTCTCCTTGATTACATAAACAAGGTCAACCTTAACAAGCCTACAGACCCTAGAGCAGAAACTGAATATAGATTATTATTTAGCTTTTATAAAGTATTCCCATTTCCTTTATTTAAAATGGCTGCAGAAACCATTTAAAATTATAAAGAATTCTGGATGATTTGCTATCACAACAATTTATGTATAGCACAGAAATTTAATTGATAAAAAATAATTGTATGTTGTTTTGCATACTCAGAGAGATAACCTAACCCTGATAATTAAAAAAACAAAAGCCACACACAAATTAGCTTTCTTTGCATATGCCTTTATATTTTCTACATTTTCTAAAACAAATATATCCAAATTTTTCTCTTTTATATTTTACTTAGCCAAAAACGATGGTAACAACAGATGTTTAAGTTCAGGCTATTTCCAATGCACTTTCTACTTCTTCCTCAATGGATTTCTGCCAAGTTCCTCTTTGTTTCCTCCCCAGACTGAGAAACTGAAAAATCTGCTTAACAATTATTTAAGCCAATATGAGGGTGCCTACACACCTCTGCATTCTATTATATATACATGTGTTAACTGCTGATAGCTCAATTTTGGAAATAAACTGTATTTCATAAACATTGCCTTTATTATTATTCAAAGTGTATGTATATATTTTTAGGACACCCTACATCTAATTTATTTGCCTGTATCTTATATTTTCTTTCATAATCATGCATCATTGCTTTTCAGACTCTACTTATGAGCTGAACCACTGTTTGCTGAGGAAAAATGAAAATTTTTACCACCTATTGATCATACCTTGAGAATCTTGCACATGATCTCATAAACTGAAAATGTTTTCTCTGCTCGGGTCCAATCCCACGTTGTCACCTTTAAAAGATAAGAAAGTAATACACCATTTTTTTTAAATAGCTCCTATTCCCTCGTTAAGTTACTTATATACTATGGCGTCTAGGGGAACCTGTCACATATGTACTATAGAGTCTCCAGTTATAACGCTCATCGAGGTTCATGCAGAATGCTGTGGTTTCCTCTCTTCTAAGCTTTATTACTATTTTTTCCTCTTTCAGCAAACATCTCATGTTACATGCAACAATCTCAACGTGCCCAATAGCTTTACATATTTTAAGTATTGTGTATTCTTTACATATCTATATATATAAAAGCCCAGTGACCAGAATGGTGGAACAATCAGAATGACCAGTGGCTATGATGCACAGTGCAGCAGCCAACCAGACTGATCCAGGCCCCGATTGCCCCCTGCCCCACCCAGGCCAGCATGGCCTCTGATCGGCCCCCAACACACCAATCGGGGATGTGTCCGGCCAGCCAACCACCTGCAGCCCCCCCCCCCCGCCACTCCCCCCCCCGCTGGCCCGGACAACACCCACCCATGCACGATTTTGTGCACTGGGCCTCTAGTCAATAATAAGTATTTATATTTCACACACCATTTTTTTTAAAGTTTACCACTCCTTACCTACAAAGAAGAATACCAGATAGCAACATTGAGTTGAATTTTTTAAAAAGACATAATTTATATTGGTAGTCATTCCAAGATGTGAACACCTTAGAAAATTATGAAGGTATCAAACACGACAGTGAAATTGTTTCACTTACTGAAGTGTAAACCTTACACCTATATTTCCAACCATAAGAAATTATTCAGAGTAGTACTATAGTAAAATATATACATATTAATGGTTTTTTACCTGCCTTCCTGTGAACTTTGTATACACAGAGACATTCAAAATAGCAGTAAGTCAGACTTGATAATTCCAAGGCCCTACCCATTATTAGACCTGTAAGTGGTCTGACATTTGATATTTATATTCAATAAATATTTATTGAGAATGACAATTATGGAAGGTATCTGTTTCAAAAGCAAGATATTAGGTGCAATAGATACCAATACATATTTAATAAAACGCCCAATGACTAGCATATAGGATATAAAAAATACTGTTGATTTGATGTAGACAGACTTGTGCCACATAAACATATCTTGCCTGTCATAAATGCCTAAATAGAAAAGATTTCTAGATTTCTCAAGGGTTATAAGGTAATGTTTAATGACAGAATATATATATTTACAGAATATATATATTTAGCAAAATATACACACAAAAAATTTGGACTATTTTCTATTTTTGTTCTGTAGCTGATTTTCAAAAAAATATTGGCCACATGCTATTTTTATTGTTAAGTCAATGTCACTCTGCTGTGATCATATAGGAAAATAAGTATTGGACAAAAACACTTACTGGAGGTGCCAGAAACTTGTAAAGACATGAGCCCCTCAGGGCTAGAAAGATTGGAGAGTACACCGAGTCCTGAAGGGGGTCCTGCTCCCGGGCCTCACACCAACCCATGTAGACGATCTGCAAGGAAACGGAACGTAATTACTGCAGAAAAAGCCTCAGATTAGAGGTATTATGTGCATTTTTACCTCTAGGTAAGGCATCTTAATGCTCTAATAAAATTATCAAATTAATTGATGCAAAATTTCATGAACCAGATTTGCCTTCAATAAGTATATGTAAACCACTAACAAGGATTTGCAAGTGTTTGTTTACGTAACCCAACTTGACATGCATTATATCTCTCACTTTCTACCATTCATACTGTGAAAATATGTGTTTGTAATGGAATTCATTGACTTATGCCATCTGTTTACCAGTTAGTTCCATTTTACTATCTGGGAAAGTGATCCCAGGAGAAAATAATCAAGTGGGTAATGAGATAAATCAGAGAGATAACTGATGTTATCACCACTAGTGTGGTGTACCGCATCCCCCCTGTGTCATTCTTGGTTTAGTCACTTGTCTAAGATGACTAAACACTGTTCAAGCATTATCCATATATCAATGGCACTGACAACAACTCTTTTGCTTCTAGCTCTTAAATGTAAGTGGATCAATTTCCAAAAAAAAAAAAGTTAAATGGTTACTCCTCTTCTCATCATTTAATTGAGGTAAAGGTGAAGCATGTACATACACATTTATTAAGTGAATATTTCACATTCTTGAAAACATATCGATAGGCCATTTTACTTACCTCTTACCACAGCCTACATGATAGAGGTACCTGGAGAGTATATTTTCCACATCATGTAACTTACTTTGGTTTTAGTGTTGGCAGAATGTTCTTTCCTGCTCCAAGACTTTTTTTTTACCCTTTTAAAACTATGATGTTATTTGATTAAGTATCTACCTGGCCATATAAGCAATTAGAAAATAACCAATTACTATAGCTGGTTGTTCTAATATTATTATTAACCAGTGAAGATCAAGAAGATCAGTTCATAAAGCAATAAATGTTTTATCACTATGTTGTATACCTGAAACTAATATAATATTGTGTATATTAACTGTAATTGAAAAATAAATTTAAAATGTAATTGAAAAATAAATTAAAAAAAATAAATTTAAAGAGTAAAAGAGCAATAACGTTTACTAGCTGAAAATGATTAGGTTAACTATAGGAGACTAGTATAATTTGTCAGAATAATTGAGATAAAATAAAAGGAGATAATTATTTTCTACTTCCAGTTGTTGTATATTATGTCATCAGACAACACTTTTACTGAAGTCATGCCAGAAAACAATAAAAATGTTATTTTTCAAATGTGCTTAAAACACTAGATATTTTACAACATATTAAATAAAGCGTTACCAGGAAAAAAATTCATAGTAATATGGTGGTTGATAAAAGTGAGTCCAAATGTGGATTAGCTTTTGCCAGAGGGGCACTTTCTAATACAGAAGTGGCCATAAAAGATTGAGATGCTTTTTTCAGCCTTGGTTTTAGGGCATAAGGTAAAGTCACATGGGTGAGCCTTAGGGAACAGTCTGGGTTTCAGGTCACAGGTGCCTGCTTCCTAACTGCAGTGTTGAGGCAGGTGTCATTTAGCTCTTACAGGAACAAGAGCTCAAATCTAGATGATTCAGAAAATGTCAACCTTGAAATGATTCATGATTTATGAATTTTTATTGAGGTGACACTGGTTAACAAAATTACAGTGTTCAGGTACACAACACATCATCTGTACACTGCATTGTGTGGAAGGGAGAGCGAGAGGGAGAGAGAAACATCAACGATGAAAGAGAATCACTGATTCTCTGCAAGCGCCCCACTGGAGATCGAGCTTGCAACCTGGGCATGTGCCCTTGACCAGTATCGAACTTGGGACCCTTCAGTCCACAGGCTTACACTCTATCCATTGAGCCAAACCAGTCAGGGCTAAATTGTACTTCTGATTTTATTTTGCCTAAAATAAAAGTAAGTCCTCTCTGGAGCAAGATAACATCATTCCCATCCTCAAGTTATGTCTGTGACTTTTATGTACAATGTCTACTCTTTAACCATTATTTAGAAGCCATACAAGGGGACAAAAATAAATACAATTCAGAAAACCAAGGAATAAAACAGACAAAGGGGGAGGAACACACACATAAGAGATTCAGATCTTGGATATATCAACCAAACATTAAAACTACTACTTTACTCAATATATGTTCAAAATTTAGACGACTAGTCCATACATCATAGCAGATAACTGGAAATTGTGAAATAATAAAACATATATCTAGAAATGAAACTGTAGCGCAATGTAAGGATTTGCCAGAAGTTTACATACAGCTGAAAAGAGGAGCATGGAATTAAGTGAATTTAACAGTCACTGTATACAAAATCTGCATAAAAATCAATTGCAGCTCCATACTAACAAGACCATTTTTCTACCTCTTGATATATGTGTGTGTGTGTGTGTGTGTGTGTGTGTGTGTGTGCGTGCGTGCACACGCGTCTGTGTTTATGGGCAGGCATGTGTTTGTATACACAGATAATTAGTAGAATTTTACATGTTACAACTAAAAGCATCTTGGAGTAACAGCTGTTTCTCAAGGCCACAGAAATCTAAAATGCCTATAAGAGGCAAAAGACTAAAATTATATATATATAATATATCTTACACATATATATATATATATATATATATATATATATATATATATATATATATATATCTTACATAAAAGGCCCGTGGCCGTCATGCCATAACTCCATCTCGAACAAACGAGCAGAGGCTCTCGTGACAGGTGGGGCAGGGCACAAGCTACTAGTGGTGGAGAGCTATGAGTGGCGGAGGGCGGGGCAGTGAGCTACGAGCGCATGATTGCGTGCACGTTGGGCCTCTGTTGTGTGTGTGTGTGTGTGTGTGTGTGTGTGTGTGTATGTGCCAGTGAATATATATATATTTACCAAGGAGTTCTGATTTAGTGTTACTCTCATCTCACAGCACTCCTCACCTTGCAGAATTTCAGAATTAATCTCAAGTCCCTAAATCAAGGGAGAGGAGATGTGATATCCCCCAAATCACCATCATCTTTATGTTTCACCTGGCCTCTTATTCTTTTACACAGCGACCTCAACAGCATCTAACAAATCCATCTGTCTGCTTTTGATAAAGCTCCCAGAAGTTTCTGACAAAACCATGCCTCTACACATCTGTAGGTGACACGAGGTGGTCCCTGCTACCACAGTGTACCTCGCAGGTGTTTTCCACAGTATCCACTCCATTACCTCCTGGAGTCTGAGAAGCCTTACTGTGGATCGGCTCACCCACTTTCTAATGTGAATGCATTCCTTTTTCTCCTTCCATTGTCTTTGCTTTCAGTCGACACCACTCCCACAAGGTGGGGCCATTCAGCTCAAGTAACAGGCCAGACTATGTCTCATTGCAGCCTTCGACATTACTTGGCATCAAGTTCACTCTCCCTCTCAAACCAGGAGGCCAGCCTGCTTCCTTTTCCTGGGTAAAGCAATCAAAACCACTCCTTCAGTCCTTTCGGGGGAAATTTCTTCTCTGCCCGAACCCATGGTGTTGTAATGTCAGTCACCCACTATTTGATCAAATGTTTCATCAGGTGATTTTTTTTTTTGAGGGGAAGGTGGGCGGTTTCAAGACTTTTGCTTCGTTAATACTTCTCTAAGAGAAATCATACTAAAGTGAATTTGAAGGAGAGCTAAACACGGAAGAGAAGTTACAAAGTGAGCTGAACGTACCCCCAGTGCTCTGAAACAAGCAGAAAGTGCTCTTCACTGTTGGTAGAGGGCATATGGTGGTGATGCGTTGACAGCTGAGCCTATTGTCATTTGTGTTCAGCTGTAGAAAACTCTCTCCTTTCCCTCCTGCCAGCTGCTTCCCCGAAAACCACTGCTGAGCCAGCCACTGCAGCAGCACAAAGCCCTCCACGGGGGGACCACGGCAATCACTCTGATTTGTCTCCACCGAGGCTTGGCCCTAAAGGCTTTCTCTCAAGACGCAGAAACGAAGCAGCTTGGGACTGTGCCAGGGAATTCTGGAGACCGGCAATCAGGACAGAAAGAAGAGGCACCACGGGCAGCGCATAAAAGCAGGTCGACTTGGCAGCAGGGGCCAAGTGTGTTAACAGGAAGTAGGATGGCTATTGTCCAGCAACATGGGTCGGTGCTGTCTGGAAAACACTGTTCGTCTGAGATGCATTACTCTGACAAATAAAATGGCCCTAGGCCATCCTGACTCACAATTAAAGAGTAACACTAAAGATTTCGGTTGTTGCTCGGCAAAGAGCTCTCTCAGATATAATGGCATCCCAGCTCTCTGCATATAAAGGCAACATTTCCAGATGACTGGTAACCTGAACATTTTTCCTTCTCACATACACAAGATGACATCGGGACTGCTATATCCCTAATGTTATACTCATTGGGGATATAGCAGTGAATTAAATACAATGCAATAATGTACTTTAGATTCCACTTTGAGTGACTGTGCATTTCAAAAGAAAGAAGTAGAATATAGGCTATAAGAAAGAATAAGCGGTCCCAAGAAAACAGGTTGTTGTTTTTTAAAGAGCACAGGGAAGGGGAGATACAGAGTTTTGCAGAGTCTGATGTTCTAGATGAGATTGTGTAAGGTCTCACAGAGGGGGCATTTGGGAACAGACTTAACAGACGGAAAGTTCCCCATATCTCTATCTGGAGGAAGAGAATTAGGCAGAAGTGATAAGACAGAAGGAAGCTAGGTAGTCAGGAACTGGGACCATGGGGGAAAGAGAGGGAGGAAGTAGAACCTGGAACCCAGTTACTAAGACAACACAACTTCGCAAGGAAGGAAGAGTGCACGCAGAAGACATGAGCTCAAACGATATACCAATGACATGAGTCAAAACACTGAGCTTTCACTTACTTTTCTTACTTGAATTAATGTTTTTAGTATGCTTAGGAAAGTAATACAAAGCTTAATTCTAGCATAATAAAATGGTAAAGGGAATCTGTTATTATTTTCTATAATCAACTTACTTTGGTCTATAATCAATTATTAGTCTTATAAGTCAACTAAATTATTTGCTTGATTAATCAGACATTATTTTTATTCTATGCATTAATTTAGACTCATTTTAAATACAGTCAGCAAATCGTGAAAATCCTCTTTAACATTTAGATTATTTATGTAAAGTACTAAATGTTGATACAGTAAAACTATTTCATGTAAATTGCTCTCCGTGTTCTTTGACATTGTATTTAAATAAATATAATTTGTGTAAAAAATAGTGTTCACTTAGTTTACTTGAAAAGTTTTTTAATATACTTTTTATTGTTGATAGTATTACAGACTGCTTTTAATGTGATTAGATAAGTAGATATATCACATGATATGAAAGAAATCTAATAAACTATTTATTTTCCTGAATATAGTTAATAATAGTACACATTATTTCCACATAAAATTAAATTTAATCCAGATTATCTTCTATAATAAAAACAATGAAAGAAAGATATAATTTGACTTTTCAAGTATTTCTCCATCTTACCTGCTGGTTTACAGGAAAGTTTCTGTTGATTTTTTTAATCTGCAATGATAAATAAATAGTAAAAGTAAGAACAACAAAGGTGACACAAGATTGCCTAAATTTTCTGAGAATCAATATTTAGTGAGTAAATATACATTGACACAATTAAGTCATTGCATCTAAAACAGCAATTATGAAAGGAAAAGAATTTTTACTATCAAAATTTTTTCAAATTTCATATGAAAAATGTTAATGAACATTATGGTACCACTTGAGAGAAGCAAACATCATTTGTGCAGTAATTCATACAAAAAAGAAAAAGGAGGCTTTGTTGACTTTGAAAAAGCTTGCCATCTAATTTTTTTTGTTTATGAAAAACCAAATGCCTATGCTTCCACACACTGTTAAATAATTATCTACCAAGAACAAAAGAGTAATATTCTGTAGTTTATATTTTCACTTTGAAATCATATTATTTCCAATTTGCTTTAACACTCGGGAACAGGGGAAATGGAGTAATTTAAACGCTAAAGGATAAAGAAAATGTGTCAAGATATTTTTAGTCAGAATCCCACATAAAGCATAACATTGACTTTCAGACAATTTAGTAAGTGACATTTTATTAGAATTTAAAATAAATCCTCAAAACAAGAATTCCTTCTGTTCTAAGTTATGTAAAATGCTCTAAAAACTGAATGAAAATGAATATGAGACTTAGATAAAGGACCTTAGGCTACACAGTCATTGTTCAGAATTTGTATTAGTTAAAACTAATTATAATTTTTCATTGCTTTTCTAAGAGAAACACAAAATGCTAATTCTGTATGGTATAATCTTATATCAGATTAATGAAGACTATTTTCATTTATAAGTTGTTTAATTGAATTATTTTATTTTTTCCTTTTAAAGTTGTAGGTCATGGGAAATTAATGAATACTGTGGACAAAGTTGGAGAATCATCAAATGGCCCATCATAAGACCAGACTTATTGGCAAGATATTTCTCTTTTAAAATATAAAAGAAAAAAAATGAGAAGATTTATGTGATTTCAGCAAGGGAAAAAAACATGTCCCTCTTACATTGCAATAATCACTTCAAAATTGTTTTGGTCTGGTGAGGAATCAGCTAAGGAAATAGCTAAAACTACAGGTGTCATCAGCTACAATGAGGATAGTGCAGAGATGTAGACAGAAAGAGCAGGCCCCTAAACATTTGTTACCAACCAAAGAAAAAGTCTGTATTGAATACTTGGTGGAATTATGCTTTTTGCACAGTTTCTGTAGCTTTGAGACTGGGGAACATGAAGAACTGGCCAGAAAGAAAGAATGAGGTCTAATGGGAAGAGAGGGATGCAGGAGGCAAGCAAAACCCAATTGGATCAAGGGTGGCATGTGAATTGTGTCCCATAAAACTGCCTCATTTAGCCCTAGCCGGGTTGGCTCAGTGGATAGAGCGTCGGCCTGCGGACCAAAGGGTCCCAGGTTCGATTCCAGTCAAAGGGCATGTACTTGGGTTGCAGGCTCTTTGCCTGGGCCCTGGTCAGGGCGTGTGCAGGAGGCAACCGATCGATGTGTTTCTCTCACATCAATGTTTCTCCCTGTCTTTCTCTCTCTTCCACTCTCTGTAAAATCAATGGAAAAATATCCTTGGGTGAGGATTAAAAACCAACAGACAAATAAAAAGATTTAAAGGCTTATTATAATTTAAAAACTGCCTCATTTTATGATGACTGCATCATTCAGTTAATATCAAAGCAGATGTTTTAGGTTGTGCAAATGAAAACCAGCTAATATTTTCCAATATCAAGAAAATGTTCAAACATCATTTAACTTTCAGTGAGTAGTTTTCCAAGAGATAAAGTAGGTTAGTTATTTTGTTGAAATGCTTCCTGACGTAAACCGCCAAAAATAAACTCTAATTGTGTAAATCACAAACCTATGATTGTCCAAATATGCATCTAATTCCCAAACATTCCCTTCCTTTTATCATGACGTAAGTAACGGACTGCAGCTGTTTGATTTCACTCCGTTACCCATTTTTGGTTGACAACCGCATGTCTCACATTCATATTTTTGTGTCTGAGGAAAAACAATGCAGAAATGAACAACATGCTCGCCTTAAGAAGCAGATATAAGGACTCAGAAATGTCAGCAGCGATAAAAGAAAAAAAATCTACTGCAATGACACGCATGTCTGTCAGAAACACATTCTGCAACCTCTAACCACAGGCCTTCATTTATTTCCCATAAATCTCCTTTCTGCTAGGTATTATTTTTTCATGACTTTCAATTGAACTGCAAGATGTATCAAGTCTTTTCAACGTGGCAGATACAATAGAAATTTTTTCTTTAGTTTTTCACAACCAGCACGTCATGGAAAAAATAATCCATTTGTTCCACTTGCAAGTCTTTGCCATCTCTTGTTTCAGATCTCCATGGATTAAATATTTTTCACTTCTGAAGATAAATGAGTAAAATATAGGAAGATAGATGAAATATTTGCTGACTAAACTCAAAGGACTGATTAAATGTGTGTTGTGTGTATGTGTGTAAATCCTGAGGGACTATGATGATCCCATAAAAATCACAGAGGGTATTATCTATGCATTTTCTTTAGGATTAATACGTCTTTAGTATCAAGCCGTGTGGTAGACATTTTTGGTTATCTGAATCAAAAGCTATTTGCAACCTTCTTTTCTTGATTATATCCTGCTATAAACACTACAGAAGGTAAAGACTAGCCACTTTACTGCCCTGGGTCCCCTCCTGCTGGGATTGTCACGGGACTGAGCTCAGAAGAATGAGACACTTCTCATTATTTAGTCCTTTATCTTAGTTTGATAAAAGGGAAGAGATGTAGGTGATGCTACTTATTCTTATTCACTTTCTTTCTTGTTCTTAACACTGATGTGATGTTCAAAAGTGTTGTAGCCCCTGGGTGGCCATGAGGTGGCAAACATCAGGTGAAAGCCAACACTCTAAGGGTAGTGGCGGGCAATAATGTGAACAGATACAAGATGGGTCCTTGGTGGCTTCACAGAACAATTGAAGGAAAGCCAGCAAATGCCGCCATCCAGAATACTTGTCGGTTGAGGACAAAACCAATTATTTCTCCAGTAGTCCTTAGGGTTTCTCTTATGCACCAAGAAAGCATAAAAAATGCGGAGACAAAGAAACAGGACAAAACTGTCAATGGAGGATATTGAGTTCAGAACCATACTTTTAAGGTCTCTCAAGAACTATCTAGAAGCCGCTGATAAACTTACTGAGATCTACAAGAAATCTAATGAGACCCTTGATGTTGTGATAAAGAACCAACTAGAAATTAAGCATACATGGACTGAAATAAAGAATATTATACAGACTCCCAACAGCAGACCAGAGGAGCGCAAGAATCAAGTCAAAGATTTGAAATGCAAAGAAGCAAAAAACACCCAACCAGAAAAGCAAAATGAAAAAAGAATCCGAAAATACGAAGATAGTGTAAGGAGCCTCTGAGACAGCTTCAAGCGTACCAACATCAGAATTATAAGGGTGCCAGAAGATGAGAGAGAGCAAGATATTGAAAACCTATTTGAAGAAATAATGACAGAAAACTTCCCCTTCCTGGTGAAAGAAATAGACTTACAAGTCTAGGAAGTGCAGAGAAGCCCAAACAAAAGGAATTCAAAGAGGACCACACCAAGACACATCATAATTAAAATGCCAAGAGCAAAAGACAAAGAGAGAATCCTAAAAGCAGCAAGAGAAAGTAAATCAGTTACCTACAAGGGAGTACCCATACGACTGTCAGCTGATTTCTCAACAGAAACTTTGCAGGCCAGAAGGGAGTGGCAAGAAATATTCAAAGTGATAAATACCAAGAACCTACAACCAAGACTACTTTATCCAGCAAAGCTATCATTCAGAAGTGAAGGCCAGATAAGAAAAAGCCAAAGGAGTTCATCACCACCAAACCAGTATTATATGAAATGCTGAAAGGTATCCTTTAAGAGGAAGAAGAAAAAGGTAAAGATACAAATTATGAACAACAAATACACATCTATCAATAAGTGAATCTAAAAATCAAGTGAATAAATAATCTGATGAACAGAATAAACTGGTGATTATAATAGAATCAGGGGCATAGAAAGAGAATGGACTGACTATTCTTGGGGGGGAAAGGGGAGTGGGAGATGCGGGAAGAGACTGGACAAAAATCATGCACCTATGGATGAGGACAGTGGGTGGGGAGTGAGGGCGGAGGGTGGGGTGGGAACTGGAAGGAGGGGAGTTATGGGGGGAACAAATGTAATAATCTGAACAATAAAGATTTAATAAAAAATAAATAAAAATAAAAGCTTACTACTTATCGAAATATTTTTTTTACCCACAATCAGTGGCAATTTTTATATCAAATGAGATTCGTTATTGTGATTAAGTCTGTTAATTTTTCTCTTGTAGAGATCTGCTACCTCTATATACATGTCTTCTGCCACCAATTAAACTGTTTTACTCATTGTTTATATATCAACTTGAGGAAACTGTCCTTACATTTCTGAGTAGGTACAGATATAGCCCCTCATAACACTTCTTTATGTTATCTATAAAAGTTGTAATTTCACATTTACTTGTGTGATCATTTAATTAATGTCTCCCTTCCTCACTAGACTATTGGTTCCATGAGGGGAAAAACTATCCATTTTTGCTTAAAATTATAGTGCTGACTCATACCAAATTGACACTGTAGGCCCTCAAAAATATTTATTGAATCAGTATATCAATAAATCAGGGAGCTGACAATGATCTAAAAATATGTCCATATCTGGCCCTAGCCAGTTTGGCTCAGTGTATAGAGCGTCAGCCTGCGGACTGAAGGGTCCCAGGTTCGATTCTGGTCAAGGGCACATGCCCGGGTTGTGGGCTTGATCCCCAGTAGAGGGTGTGCAGGAGGCAGCCAATCAATGATTCCCTCTCATTATTGATGTTTCTATCTCTCTCTTCCTCTCCCTTCCTCTCTGAAATCAATAAAATTATATTTTAAAAAAATATGTCCATATCTGGCATTAATGTAACTATATA